GGACACCTACACCAGATTGCGTCCGTGCTGACCCTCTCTGACTGACCAGTCATCTGAACCGCAGCAACTCCGACCAATCACCCGTCTGAATATGTTGGTTTGTCTCAAAAAACCCAAAAAATAGATGGTTTCGTGTTGGCGTCCAACAAAAATACACGAAAGGGTCGCTGTTTAGCTGCAGAGACACGCGGATCCTCGGTGAATCAAAGGTCAAGTGGGATGTGAATCTGAGTGAATTGGCGAGCTCAGATCCCTGACGTGCCTTTCTCATGAACACACGAGGTAGGGTAGATGTCGTATGGGTGTGTCTTTGGTTTCCTCTTGATTTTTCGTTTGCTTTCCCTTTTTGGGACCTGGACGAGTGGGCCGATTTTTCGTTGGGCCCCCACCAGACCGCTTTTTTTTCGAAGCGGTTTTTCCAGGATTCCCCGGTGAAGAGGGTGTGGGCTTAGGACTTGTGGCTTTCTCAGTTCCCAGATAGACCTCAAAGACTAGCGGGATTCTCCCAGATCGACCGGAGGGAAGACATCTTCAAACCAAACCCGCACAGGCTGCGAAGCTGCGTGAGCCCGGGGGCTTGATCACTCCGCCCGTTTTTTTGGTTCTTTAAGGCGAGGGCGAACAAAAGGGTTGCGGAGGCTTCCCCGGATGCGTGGCTGACTTTGGGATTCCTTTCAGGTTGGTTTGTTTTGTTGCAAGCTGGGTGTTGTAGATCAGGGCTTGGCCACCACAGGAGAATTTTACCTTGGGATTTGTTTGAGGTTGGTTTGTATGGAAGTGCACAGACCCCTTGTGGAAAGACTACTTTCCTCTCGGAAAGGGGCTTTGTGTTCCATGTCAGTTGGTGGGCTAATAGCAGAACTCAGCAACAGGGGACTGGGGGTTTAACATCAGGGCTGGGCCATCATGAGAGATTGGGGTCTCCTGCATTGGAAGGTGGGACGTATAGAGAAAATATTTCAGGTGGGTGTGTCTGGTGCCGGATGAAATCAACCTCAAGATGCTTGTGGCGGGGTCTAGATAGCCTTCCAGCATGGCAGGTTGTCGCAGAAGGGAATGGCCTCCCTGGAAAATGCTCCGCACCCAATCAACATTTACCGCACATCCCCCACCTACCCCACGTGCAGACCCACCCCACGTGCAGACTCCAGACCCGCCCCACCCGCGATGGGTTTAGACCTGGGTTTCGGTGCCTTGCCGCCGGTGGCACGGGAACAACAAACATAGGTGGATTCCACAACAACCACCGGCCACCAGTTTTTACCACCCTTTTCCTTTTCTGTTTCACCCACCCCACGTTGGTTACCTTAAAACATGGTCGTTGTTGGGAAGCACTTTTCCCAACTTTGCTTATTGTGGTTTAGTGGCTGAAATCCAAATCCACTGAACCGCCCAGATTCTCGAAGATGTTTGCTCCCCAAACCCAACGTCGACCAAGGAATGATTCATATTCTGGGGTGGATTCGAGTGAACAGGAACGATTGATATGATGGTTGGTAGTGGATTCGAGTGAATGGGAACGATTAATATGACGGTTGGGTGGATTCCAGTGAATTAAGGATTCCTATGGTTGGGTCGTGGAGTCGAGCGAATTTCCGCCAACGGCCTTGACGCCTTGCGCGGGCCACCGGTCTCGGGAAAAGACGGGGGCCTCCGAACCAAGCCGAGGGCGCGACGGTCGGTTTCACCACTCCCGGAGGTTTTTGTGTGGGCCCCTTCCTTTCTGCGGAAGAGGAATGTCTTAGCTGCGGAAGAGGAACTTCTGATCTACGGAAGAGGAATGTCTAACATTTGGTTGTCCAGTGATTCCCTTTTTTTCGCTGCATAGCAGGTACCAAAACACTTGCCACCCTTGAGATACCAAAAAAGGACCTTCGGAACTGGCGAGATCCGCTTCGGAAGCTGAGATCCGCTGGGTGACTTTTGCTTCATGGGCCAAGCTCGCGGCATTTTCGCGCTTTTGGACCTTCAGCCACCAACAAAAACCACCAGAAAGAAGGCTCCTCAAGAAACAGCACAGCCATCATTCAGCCTTGGCTTGAATTTTGACTTATTGACTTTCCTGTGACTTTCCAGTTGCCAGGTTTCCTCTTTTGGACATGCTACAAGGCAGCTGCTTTCCCCTTCGTTTTTTTGGGGTAGGAGTCTCCGAGGAAGAAGAAGGCCTGGGTCCCTCAGCTAGGTGCCGTTTCGACCTCTCACCCCTTTTTCGGGGAAGGGAGGGCTCCCCTACTAAAAATAGACGAAAAATGAAGAAAGTGGGTACCAACTTCTTCTAACCTCTCAAATCTGGAGGACCTAGCATAGTTTGCCCTTTGTGGCTTCTCATTCGTTTTGTTTAGGGTCCCAGGAGTCTCAGACGAGGAAGAACCCTTCCAGCAGCCAAAACGAGAGCGTTTCAGGTCTGGGAAGCTGGACGATCTGCAGAGCGACCCGGAGCTGCAGCCCATTTTTGAGGACAAAACGTCGAAACGCGTCGGACACGTCCGGCGGTGTGAAACTCGCGCATGAGTCTTGCAGGGGTCCTTGTGGGTTCTTCAATTCGGGACCCTTTTTATGGTGCGTTGCCTTTTAATGTGGGAAATATACATAGGTGTCCTTTGAAGGTTAGTTCGACTAGACCTAGCTTGGCAAACCACTGGTTTAGAGGAGTTTCATGCCATCCATTTACCAGTTGGACACCCATCTATTTGTTTCAAACGGACACCTGTGAAGATCACCCAAACTTGAGAAACCCTCTTGATCACCCAGCCCGATTGATTTTTGCCCTCCAATCCCTCTTCCTTTTCGGAAGAAACATACTCCAAGGACACCTGGCCGTGGGTCAAAACCAATGCTACCATTTTGGGGTAGGTGAATTCACCACCCATTTTAGAACCTGTTTTAGTGGTTGGATTGGTTGATGTTCACTGGGGGTACGGGCTTTGGATTTTGACCCATGGCCACCTATGTAGAGAAGCCTCTCTTGAGGACGCCTGTCTTGCAAAATCAACTTGGAGGTGCCTGGAAGCCATTCACATGCTCGAAGAAATCCACGAAATGTCATCGTACAACGGCAAAGAAATAAACTTTTGCGACTCAGTTTGGTTTTATGGGCTGGTCATTTTATAGCAACAAATATGGTTTTATGGCAAATAATGAATGAATTTGGTTTTAAAGTCATTTATGGGTTTGTGATTTTTTGTTGTGCTGAGTTGCTTCAAAAGGCAGAAGGTGGGACCTTGGCGAATCATACCCCCCGAAGCATACCCCCGAGTCATACCCCCGAATCATACCCCTTCAAAATGTATGCTGCAAGATGCTACCCTTCTTCTAGCGTTTGTGCTGTTTACTGTCTCCGTGGAGACAACAACCACCAAGAAGTGCCTATGCTACTAGTACTGCTGCTAGTGATACTACTCCCACTTGCTATTGCTACTGCTACTACTACTGCTGCAACAGCGAGCCATACCCCCGAATCATACCCCGAATCATACCCCCGAAGCATACCCGCGAGTCATACCCCGCACTCAAACCTTCCTGCCCACCGAGAAAAAGAAGGAAAAAGGAAAATACACTATATATATATATTTATACACATACATATATTATATATATATATATACACATGTGGCGGCTGTGCAGATATGCGGCACACTGGCACCTTTTTGTTCCTCCCTGCGGGGCTAAGCTTATTTTGTTGCTCTGTTCCGCGTTTCATGGGGGAAACCTGGGGTCTCTAGAGCATGAGGAGTCAAAGGTATGTGTCAAAATAGGAGAAACCGGACACGTGCGGTTTCTCTTTGCTCTGAATCCCAAAAGGCTACCCTCCAAAAGCCCCCCCCCTCTTAACTCCAAAAAAGGAACCCTCCAAAAAACCCTTTTGTGGTACCCCAAAAAAGGTACCCTCCAAAAGGTACCCTCCAAAAAACGCAGCCCCAAGTGTGGTTGTCTCACGACGCTGGCAGCTTGCCACGGCCCGTCACCGGGAACACTGCGATTCCCGATTCTTCGCCGCGGATTGTTTGGCTCAAGAATTCGGTGGGGGATTTGGGGCCACCGCCCTTCCCAGCTGCACTGTCAAAGAGGTTGGAACTGTAAAATCAGTGCGTGGAAACCACCAATCCACCAAACCACCAATCCAAACCATCAATGACACATGGTTGTTGTTGGGAAACTCAGGAAGAAGCTGCACTCAGGAGTTTGCTCACTTCCTGAGTTGAAGGGCATTTTCAGCTTTTTTACAAGACCATTCTAGTGGTAAATAATAAGCTTGGATTTGTTTGGCAAGAGCTAGAGTTTGTCTAAACACGCAGCAGGATGTTGTAAAGACACGGAATGCATAATGTTTCTTCAGCAACATGTTGGCGCCTGTATCTATATCTTGAAAAAAAGAACACGCATGTACCCCCTACTCCAAAAACCCACTCTTTTTAGGGCATTTTTGAAAAATATGTTTCTTCATGGTAAACACCACCGTTTCAGTAGAACAAACACGGGTATTTTGAGTAGGGGGCTATAAGAAGGCTAAACGTATGTTCATCCTGGGATAGAACAAAGATTCCACGGGGGAAACCAGGGGTGTGAGCAACTGTGAGGCAGCCAAAAGGACAATTGTGTGTGTTTCCGAAGGACCCCATTTGGGTCTGTCTTTATTTGGAGTTGGTACCCCTTTTTTTCGTCATTTTTTTTCAGGGACACCACCAGTTCAAAGAAAACACAACAACCCAAAAAAAACACGCTTTGTTTCGGGGGAGGTGCCCTAAAACACGACACACGTACGCGCACACCCAATTTCTTAGAGACTCAACGAGTTGTGGGATCACTCGGGCTTTTACCAACCACTTCTGTGATACTTTCGGGAATCTCCCCTCTTTATATGGGGGGGGGGTTAGTTTCCCACAGCCCTGTACATTTTGCAACCATTTGAAACATGTTGCTTTTTCAACACCAAAACAAAGTTGGGTTCACCACCATTTACAAGTTGCGATGTTTTCTGGTGTTTTTCATGTATCCGGATCCCTGCCATTTCTTAGAGACTCCACGGGCCCGTCGACCTTCGCGGTCCCATGACCTGGGCGCTGACGGCGGCGCTCACAGCGGCGCTGCCATGCGCGGCCGAGATGGAGCTGACGCTCGCAGAGGCGGGCGATCGACGGAGCGGAGTGGCTCGCTGTGGATCCTGTGGATCCGCGCGCAAAAGAACACTTCTGTTTGCTTTAGAATGTGTATATATATATATATATTTCTTTCTTTATTTGTTTTCATGTTTTTTTCTTCCTTGTTGGTGTTAAAGGGAATCTATCACTATTGGACATAAAACAAAAGTCCAGGGGGCGCAGCAGCAAATGGACGAGGAATTCGGAGCTCCTGAAAGGGATCGCTGAGTTTGGCAACTCTCTGACCAGTTTCACATCTGCCAGACTTGGAGAAAATTTCTATGGTCTCCAATAATTTTTGTAGTAGAAACAATGGAAAACATGATGGTTTCCCATTGTCCAAGATGTTTTGTCCAATAATTTTTTGTCCGGGACTCAAGTCGTTTTTTTTTTTTGGTTTCCCATTGTCTCAAGTGGGAAAGACCTTGCCGAACGGGGACCTTTTTTTTTTTCTGGAAAGGGACGCCTTTGGGGCAAGCAAGTAGCTCCAGTGGAAATTGTAGGGGTTCGAAGAGGATCGTCTGAAGCTGGTTTTGATCGAAGGCTCCTAAGAGCGTGTCTGGGAGTGGGGGGGGGGGGATTTGAGGACGCTCCTTCAACTGAGATAAGTTCAAAAGCACCCCAGAGATTGATCGGCCCCAACAACTCCCCAAGAGGGTGTGGAACGGACCTCAGCGGGTCTTCGCAATATTGACTGGCCGGAGATTGGCAACATCTTTTTTGAACCGGTGCCGGGTTTTGCTTTTTTGTGGCCCCCGATTTGGTGGATTACACATCTTGGATGGCCTGCTCTCAAAAAAGATGCGCATCGCTCCGCCTCACCGCAGAACGTTCACTAGGCGTCACAAAAGGGGCGGGGTCTTTTCGGCTGTCAGCCCTAGTCCCCCCAAACTCAAGTTTGATGCAACAAAGTACCCACCGTTGCCATAGAAGAGGAATGCCCTAAGGAGCATGGTCTAAACCAGCCTGAGGCGCAGGTCTGCAGGAAAAGGCCGATGGGTTTCTCAAAATTAGTTGGACTTCAGATGGTTGGGATCCCCGAAATGTTGAGAACGGTTTTCAGAAATGAGGGCCGAAACCAAAACACCCATTCTATTTGATTTCCGCAACAAGAAACAACCAAAACACCCGTTTCCCACTCATGGTTCTAAGGGTTCTTTCCCCATTCTTTCCAGGGATCCTTCTTTCTGGAAAACCTCCAGAAACCCGGGGAAAACGACTGGTTATTGGAAAAAATAATGGGGAATCAGCCTATAGAATGGTGCATGGCGCAAGAAACGGTTGTTCTTTTCTTTCTCCGGTCGAGGCACTGGGCAAGCATCGCCAGCTCGCGGCTCGCCAGCCGTGGCTCGCTCGCTCGACAGGCGATGCCGGGGCCGGTGCTGCCACCCTGCGACAACTGGCAGATCTCCGTGCTGGAGGAGCGATGTGGAGTTACAGCCCTGGGTGCCAAGGCCAGATAGGTCCCCCAGCTTGGTGCCGATTCTTTTACCGTTTCTTTTTGGGGCAAGGGAGGGCAAGCCCCTACTAAAGCTGACTACAGAAAAAAGAAACGGTACCAACTTATTCTAACCTCGCTACTGGAGGACCTAGCCAGGGTTCCAACGGTATTTCCCTCTTCATGGCTTTTAGCATCACCTCTTGGTGGGGCGATGTATTTCTGGGTGGCCCGTCTTTTTTTGGAGTGGATGGTACGCTTTGTGGCAGATTTTAACGGGAAGCCAAAAGGAAGCCATTGCCAGTTTGGGGTTGCCCTGATTTTGAGACAAGCCTCACCTTTTGGTTGCCACTTTGTAGTGAGTTTCTTTTGCGAACAGGATGATTGAGTATTCACAGTTGGCTCGTCTTTTTTTAGGAATCGCCCCGCCCCCAGATGGTTTGCGGGCTTCCTTTTTGATTCCCTTTAAAATCACAAGAAAAGGGTACAGAGCACACCCATACGAACTCCTTAGTGGGCTGGTTACCAGCCCACCATAGAACATGTGCAAAAGAAACGCAGATGTTTGCGAGGAAGTGAGGCACATTGACGTCAGCATGTTGGTTCTCAACATGAGGGGCCCCTTCTGGGTGGTCAACTTGCTGGTGCTCAGTAGGGAATGAGTTGGAATGCATTGGGGTACTAGGGACTCCAAAAGATATAAGTAGATTACTTCACCATTTGGGGACGGTCACCCCAGTTGCACCAGCCACAGCCCTGGTCGTAGCCCAATGTTGACCCCACATGAATCAACCCCATTTCATTAACCGGGCGGTGCTTCTCCCTGTGTGTTAGTGGGGAATCATCACTTTTGCAGGGGCCCGCACCGCCACATGCATACACACGGGTTGATTCATATGGGGTCAGCATTACTTACCGGTCGTTGGTCGCGAAAGCTGGCGGTGCCAGCGGGAGTTCTCAAAGCTGTAGCGCTGGGCTTCCCGCGAGGCCCGATTTCATCAGGGTTTGGGGGCGGGGAGGTCCGCTTTCGTTCACCCGCCTCTCAAGTGTTTCACCTGCGGAAGTACTTACCAACATGAATTGGACCACACAATTCATGGGCAGAGAATGCTGGAGCCCATGCATTGACCATGAAAGATTTGGTTGTGGGTCAAAACGCAAGGTGCCCAAAATGGGGATGGTTGCCACTCCACTTTTTTTTAGAAGGCCTTCTGGGTGTTAACCGGAGCATCGGGGTTTTGACCCATAGCCATCTCGCTTCTGAGTTCGCCTCCCAAAGCCTCCCAAGACGCCGAGGAGTGCCCCAACGCCACGCTGGACGGCCTCTCCTGGCCCCGCTTCCAGCGGGACCTCTACGCCGCCCGCGCCGAGGTCTTCGGCGACGGCCTGGCGGAGGAGCCTTCCGGGGTGGGTGGGGGGTTCGCGAGGTTGGTGGGTGGATCGAAGGGACGTGCATACCGGATCCGCATGGCGCGTTTGTTTTTCTCCTTTTTTGGTTGGTGTGTTTTAAGAGGAAGATAGAAAGGACCCCCTCAACATCCATTTTTTGCCCTCTCATGGTTTTGAACACCTGGTGGTTGCCACTTTGTAGTGATGTTCCTTGGATCTAGGGTACCAACTCCCATCAAGATGAGTTACCCACATCGGACAAATGAAGCCCTCAAGCTTTTGGGTTTTTGTGCATGTCAGGTTCCCGGTACCTTGGGCTGTCGGGTTCCTTGTTGAAGTTGGTACTCTTTTTCTGTGGTTGGTTTGAAGGGACACCGAAACTAGGTCCCCCAGTAGTGCCCTTTTTACCCCTTTTTTGGGGGAGGGTTCCCCTACTAAGATAGACTACAGAAAAAAGGGTACCCTGATTCTAACCTCTCTACTGGGGGACCTAGGAAAAGACAAGCACCTCTTTTTGGGTTCCCTATTTTTAAGCGAACCCGCATGGTGGGGGCAAAATCCAATGTTTTTGTTTTGGTCCTGTAAAAGATTCGCCCCCCAAACAGTAGCCTCGTAAAAACAACACGAGCCATCTTCTTGGCGAGGGCGGCCCTTGAATGTGCAAGTGTATGAGGGAAAGTATACGAGCTGGTCTCTTCTACATCCAGTCATTTCACAATGTTTTTCCCCAAGCAAAACCCAACAACTACCTACCACATGGGCACGTATGTCTCAGCGCCCCCTCCAAAATGGCGTTTCGGGTTTTCCTTTTTCCCTTTTTCTTGGCCGAGCAAAAGGTGCACCCTTCGCCTCAAAAGAGAAGCCAGCCACGTGGCACCTTCACAGGGGTCATTATTTTGACTATTGCTGGGGGTTCTCAAAGTCAGAACATGGATTCGGTGGTTTCCCCTTAGCCCACCACTTCATGGTTGTTGTTGGGAAACATTTTACATTTTTGCTTGCTGTGGTTTAGTGGGACATCCCCACTTAACTGCTAAAAATTGAGAATTTTTGCTCCCCAAACCCAACGTCAACCAAGACTTTCGGCATGGCTTTGATGGTAAACCCATTTGGCTGTGGGTCAAAACCAATGCTACCATTTCGGGGTAGGTGAGTTCACCACCCATTTCAGAACCTGTTTTAGTGGTTGGATTGGTTGATGTTCTAGTGGGGGATTGAATCGGATGCTCACTGGGGGTAGCTGATTTGGATTTTGAAAAGCCCATGGCCATTTGAGGCCGGCCTTCCCCACTTAACTGCTAAGATTCTCACATTTCTGCTCCCCAAACCCAACGTCAACCAAGACCTTCGGGATGACTTTGATGGTAAAGTTATTTGAGGCCGGCCTTCGCCCCCCCTCTGCGCCTCTGCGAAAAATCGGAGGCCACCCGGGCGGTGTGGGGCCTGGTGGCAGAGGCCACCGCGAACTTCTCCCAGGCGAGGAAAGAAATTCCGCGGGAGGGCGGAGAGTCAGCTGGTCTTCCGTGTAGCTGATATTGATACTTCGCAGTATTTGTTTGGGTGGTATCTTTTTGTGGTATTTTTTTTGTGGTATTTTTTGCGGTTGGTTTTGGTGGTGTTGTGTGGGTTGCGACAATCAATGGATAAGGATCTCGCCCCGACTCGTCAGTCGTCGTTCCTTCCAAGTGAACCATCGAACAATCGATAAGGATATGTTGGCCGAACCTCTGCATTCTGTCAAAATAGGGGACCGAACAATGGGCGGGGGGTTCCTTTTGGTCTCCCTTGAAACCCGCATGTGTGAGACGCAAACACACCCACGAACACTGGGTCACTTTGTTGAATACCGCGGGCCAGATGGAAAACCACCAGACACTTCGGCTCAAAGGGTTCCCTTTGTGACTCTGGCACTTCCATTTCCATTCTTTCCAGGGATCCGGATCTTTCTGGAAAACCATCAGAACCTCAGGGGAAACGGTTCCGGTTTTTGAAAAGAACGATGGTTGAAGAAGAATGGGGAATGAACCCCTAGAACCCTCCCTCAGCTTCCCTTCCCTTGCCTTCCCTCAGCTTCCCAGATCTTTTTTTTTTTGGGGGTACCTCCGCATAGGCCTTCGCGTGCCCCGGGGCGGTGGTCAGCGGCTACTTCACCCTGGCGCGGCTGCTGGCGCAGCAGGGACGCAAGAGAAGGGCACTGGCGATGCTGCACCTGGGCGCCTGGGCCCGTATTTGTTTTCTTTTTTTTTGTTTCTTCTTCTTTTTCTTCTCGTGTTTCTTCTGTTTTTTTTTTCTTCTTCTCTTGTTTTATTCTTTTCTTTTTCTCTTTTTTTTGCTGTCTTTTCTTTTTCTCTTTTTTTCTTCTGTTTTTTTCTCTTCTTTTTTAAATGAGGACCCGATGAAACAAACACAGCAAGCAAGGGTTCAAATCCCCACACCACACCCAGCCGCTCTTTTTATGTGTGTTTTGTTTTCGTTTCCGAGGAATCAAATGGTGTGGCTGGAACGGTTTGAACTTTGGAGTACTGTCAACCAGGATCCAGGTAGGTTGGAGCTTGGGAGGTGTCCCCTTTTTATTGGGGGATCTATCACGTTTGGAGGGGAACTCAGCAATCCAATGGAGGACCCGATGAACAAACAAAAGCAAGTTAACTCATATTTGGGCGTGTCTTTTTTGAGGGAACCCGGAACATGGTTGGTTTCCAATCCGGTTTCCTTTAAGACCACTCCCAAAAGGAGGGTACCCATAAGAAAGCACACCCATTTTTATGGATCAGATCTTGGCTCCACGAGAAAACGAAAAGAACAACACCTCATATGGCTGTGGGGGTCAAAACCGTTTTGGGATCCCATTTTGGTGGGAGGTGGAAGAAAGGAAACCATGGGAATCTGGGTTTTCACCGTGTGGTATTTTGGGGTAGACATATGGAGAGAGTCGGAAGATATGATATTTTCAACTTGTACCCCACGTTTGGGGCCAAGTTGCAACCTGACGAGCAACATGCAAACACACGTCTTTGGTTGTTTCTGTCACGGAGACAGCGGGCGGGGCTTTTTATTGGTGCTTTATTCGCAGCAGAGGGCTTCTGTGAGGTGCTGGAATCATCGGAGGGTTGGATTGGTTGATGTTCACTGGGGGCTAACCGGGATTTTGACCCATGGCCATATCACCTCCGATCTGTACAGTCCTCCAGATTGATCGGATGCCGTTTTATGGGGTTTCAAAGTCAGGAACTGGGACTGGGGGTGTTTCCCGTTAACCTATCACTTGTGGGTGACTTTGATGGGGTAAACATGTGGCCTGTGGGCTGTAGGTGCGCCGTTGTTTGTTTGTTAAGCGTCAGACCGTCAGGCAACCCTTTGTTTCGACCGTTTGGAGTGACTTGAATTCCTGGTTCTTGTAAAGATAAAGATTGCTCCCTCTGCCTCTTGAGAACCATCCATTTGCTCAAGGGCATGTTTTGTTTTCCCTTGCTGGTTTTAAAGGGAATCTATCACTACTGGACATATTTTTATTTTTCCAGGGGGCTTAAGCAAATGGAAGGAACGTGTAATGGCAAAGGGTAATGCGGGGTGATTCGGTCGCGAAGACCAGCCATGGGTTGACACCATCAGGTGCCAGCTTCAGGCTTCCCTATCGGTGGTTTGGCGCCCTGTGGCTTGGTTCAGAGGTGGCTTCCCAGTTGCCCTCCAAAAGAAGGGCTTCAAATCTAAATCTAAGCCACCAATTCAAACCACCAACTAAGCGTTGCCTGAGAGTTGGTGGTTTCGGCTGGTAGTGTGGAGGCTCCGAGGTGCAATTGGAGGAGTTGTGGCACCTGATTTATTCTTTGAGGTTCTGTTTTTTACAGGGTCCCTTAAAGGATACCAGCTGGCAGGTAAAAATCACCCAACTGCCAGCTGATTTCGGGGGACGTCTCACTTGAGGATCGCCTGATCTGTGGTTTGTCGAAGTCAGCGACTGGGACTGGGTGGCTTTTCCCGTTCACCTGTCACTTATAGGTAGCTTTGGTTGAGGCTGGGGCTGTAGTCGTTTTTTTTTTTTTTTGGGGGGGGGTTCACATCATCAGATCATGGTGGTTGTTGGGAAACATTTTACATGTTTGCTTGTTGTGGTTTACTGGAAAATCCCCACTGAGCGGCTAACTTTTAAATTGTTGCTCCCCTTCCAGCGTCAACCAAGTGTTTTACATGGAACCAGACATTGAGGGGTGCTGGTTTGGACCATGTTGCCTTTAAAGGGACGACGATCGACGAAATGTCAGGTTTCTCGCAGGTTTTACACATCACCTTCAATGAGTGAGTTTCTTTTGGTGATGTAAGACATATGGATGTGGCTCAAAAAGAAGTACCCAAAATGGCCCCTAGGTAAATGCAAACAAAGACCAAGCCCTGTGTAACCGTAGCTCTTAAATTTGAGCCACACCCATATATCAGTGTCCAAACCAACTTGTGGCTTGGAGGAAAAATCCGGGGAGTTTTCGGGGTTTCATTTCTTTTTTTGGAGTGGTGCTTGGGGGTGGCCCCTGAATCAGCGGCAGAAAACCCAAGCTTCGGGGCACGTTTTTGCATTTTTTTTGGTTTTCCCCTTTGGTTTCCCCAAACCTCAAAAAGGATCCAGGGGAAAGACAGACTTCTGGGAACCTCGAAAAGGGCAACAACTCCAAGACACATCCAAATGGACCCCCCCCTCTCGTTTTTTGTTTGTTTGTTTGTTTATATTTTTTTCTCGGGGACAGACGGTTTTTCCGGACGCCGGTCGAGCCGAAGCCCGCCACGCGAGGCTTCATCTTCGTGCGTGACCGGGGCTTCAGCGAGTGCTCGACCTGGCCGGCGGCGGGGTGGGACGCGCCCGGATCAAAGGGATAGGGATCGGCCGGATGGAATCGCACGAAGGGCATGGAGCTGGTCTTTGGCTGGTCTTTGGCGTATTCCTCGAATTTTGTTGGACCTCAACTGATGCAAATCCGATGTGCTTCAAGAAATTACACCGGCAAGAGACCCCAAACAGTGTTGGGCAAGGTGTCGAAGCGCAAAGCGACACATCCCTACTCGCGCAGCCGCAGAGTAGCCTCCACCGCTTAGCGGCTCGGAGCAAATCGTCCATTCGCCAAAGATCTGCTCCGCCGCATCACAGACCCACCCAGAGTCCTGCGCCACGGCGAGAGCGATCCGACCCACCCAGAGCGCGCAGAGGGTTCACTAATCCGCCGTTTTCGGAATTCGCACGGCGCCACAGCGAGAGCAAACCTGCGAAAGACACAAAGTTCGTCCCACCATGTGGTGCGAGCCTGCGCAGTCGAGGGGTTCTAGCTTGGAAACTTGTAATGCAGCGGAAAGTGATTTGCTAGATTGACGGCTGGGTGCTGGCGCGGGCATGTTTGAGGTGCTTTTGACAGTGCGGGCACATTTCTGCAAGATTGATGCTAGCGCTTGCATGTTTGAGGTGCTGGTGACGGTGCGGGCTCATTTTGGCAAGATTGATGGCAGGGTGCTCGTGCATGCAAGTTTGAGATGGAGACGGTGCGAGATAGATGGCCCGGTGCTTGAGCGCATGCAAGTGGCGGCGGGCGCAGTTTTGCAAGATTGACCGTAGGGTGCTATGGCGTGCAGTGTGGGGCGCCGTTTTTGGGATTTTGTTTGGGGCTGTTTGAGGTGCTGACGCACTTTTATGAGATTGGTGGCAGTTCAGTCCGGGTTGCTGGCGTTTCTGGGGTCCAAGCTGGTGTAGTTTTGTATGAATATAAGCTACGTACATTATATATATATATATATAAATGTGGTGGCTTATACCAAGCTGCCTGGTTCAAACAGGTTGTTCAAAGCATTTGTTTGCAGAGAGAGCTTCAACCAGACGGCCGAGCCGAGGTGATGCTGGCAGGGCAGGTTCTCACGGAGCGCGTGCGGCAGCTGGACGACGGTCTCAGACCCGCCGCGGGAGGCGACGTGCGGGAGGCGGCGCTGCGGGTGGCGGTGGTGACCATCTGCGCCTATGCGGAGGAGGGGCCGTTGGAAGCGAAAATTCGGCATGTGGCTGTGTCTCAAAAATAGACGCCCAAAATGGAACCCTGGTAAGAGGAAAGATGGACTAAAATCTCTGGTCCCCTGGTGGTTTAATTTTGACACACAGCCATGTGACTCCCGGCTCCGGCGAAGCTTTGCCCCCCAGTACTTGATGTTTTCTTTTGGCGACGGATCTTTGGACTGAACAACTTTTTGGTTGAAACAGCTCGGATTTTCCGGATTGGACCCACAACAAGTGAAGCTTTTTGTTGAGGGTTCAACGGCAACCAAGCTTAATAGCCCCCCAGTGATCAATAAGGGGGCTCTTCACGGAAGAAAGGACTCCCCACTTAAGCAGTCGGTTTATGACTCGGGGTCGACAGTATATTTCCCTTTCGTGGTTTTCAACCTCGCCTTTTAGGCCAATTTGGGTATGTGTCAAATTCGGACCCCCACAAAATGATGACTTTCCTTTGGTTTGCCTTTGAACCAACCCCGAAAAGGGTACATGCCCAGTTTTAGTGAGCTCCTGCCTGACTCCCTTGCTTAAGGGGGTGACCAGACTGTTGGCTTATTGTTGGCGATACGTGGACACCACACGCTGACCTGCAAGCCTAAAAAGCTGCTGCTTCGGGCGCGCGTTGGCCTCTCATTCTAAGATTGGTTGTACAACCCCACCCCACATCAGCCACTAGGTATATGCAACCCGTTTTTTGTTTCTCCATTTTTTCCTCTTTTTTTTTCCTCCTCCGAAGCTATTTTGGACTTGTCGGTAAAGATCAACCAAAAGGCCCCCCCATTCAGCGTTCGCTATTTGTTCTTTTAAGCCTCACTTGTGCCAATTTCAAGCGAGTCTGCTTTTGGGTCGCTGTTTCAAGCGGACATGCTTTTTTTCCCCCAACACCTGAAAGCCTCTGGGGTCTGAAAGTCCAGCTAGGCTTTGGGGTGGCTTTCAGGTAGGGTTTCGGAGGGCTTCGGAGGGTTTCAGGGGTTCTGGGCGGTTGGGGATACCAGCTGCTTGGATCGCCAGTTGCTGCTTTTTTCCATCCACTTTACCCCCAAAACAAGCAGCAACTCGGTGGCCTGATTTGACCCGGGCGGAGGATGAGCCGGTGCGGGTGCTCTGCGCGCAGAACCGGCGCTTGTACCAGATGCTCCACGGCTACGACCTGCACTTCTTCACGGATGCTTCGCAGATTCAGCCCAACGTCCGGGCGCAGATGGACGTGAAGGACCTTGGAGACTTTCCATTTGCTGAAACGAATATGTATTTCTTGTTGGTTTTAAAAGGGATTTATCACTACTGGACATATTTTTATTTTTTCCAGGGGTCTTAACCAAATGGAAGGGACAAAAGAGCTGCGTCCAAAAGCTCCGTGTACATGTTTACTAAGAGTCGTGTCCTATCGACCTGTGCGTAAGCCAAGTCTCCACACGCGTAAGGTCGCGTAAGCTTGTGGCGTAAGCAAAACCTCCACATGTGTGGCGTAAGGCAAAGATTTATGCGCGTAAGGTGGCGTAAGCTAGTGGCGTAAGCGAAATGATACGACATAGCAAAACATGACACGTTTACGACATGACTCAAAAGGGTTTGTCTCAACATGAATTCGGGGGCCCCACCATTGGCCGGTCTCTTGCGAATTCCCTTTGAAATCCACCAAAAGAAGGGTGTGTCTCAACATACTGTGGGCGGACAAAATCTAAATCGCAGCAGTTGGAATGGATATATCGTGGGGAAACCCTGTAATGAACCAGGTACTTGGAGGATGTTGTCTGTCTTATCTAGATTCCCAAAAAGAGACATCCAAACTGGGGGGCCGTTTTTTCCTTGCACGCTGGGCAGTATCTATCTGTTGTCTCCTATGCGAAATGGCTAGACAAGGGGTTTTGGGTGGGTACTGCATGTCTTATTTGAGGTTCCCTTGGCGCTACATCCAGTGGTTTCTTTTTGGGAAGGGCGTGGGGCAACTCCTGAAGGAGTTTGAATTGGAAACACCCGGAGGAAGAAAAAGACACTCTGGAGTGGTATTCAAGGGAAGCTGAGCTGAAAGGAACCCCCTTTTTGCCACTTTCGGGCTCTGATTGAAAAGTTTGAGACACCCCCCCATATGGCTTTGGCTCAAAATTCAAGAGCTAGGGTTACGCAGGTTTTAGTCTTTGGTTCCATTTACCAAGGTGCCATTTTGGTACATGATTTTGAGACACCCCCCCATATCTTGACAGCTCTTTTTTTTACCAAATCCACCCCCCCCATCGGATAGGTTTCCATCTACTTCCTCTGCTAGCCAACGGTTTGTTGCCGACCCGTCCCCTTTCGAGTGGGGAGGTGTTTGAGTACTCCATTCACTTGAAGAGACTGCCCGATTTCCACAGTTTCCAGAATTTTGTATATAGAAACACATATGTATATATACATATAGATAGATAGATAGATAGATAGATAGATAGATAGATAGATAGATAGATAGATAGATAGATAGATAGATAGATAGATAGATAGATAGATAGATAGATAGATAGATAGATAGATAGATAGATAGATAGATAGATAGATAGATAGATAGATAGATAGATAGATAGATAGATAGATAGATAGATAGATAGATAGATAGATAGATAGATAGATAGATAGATAGATAGATAGATAGATAGATAGATAGATAGATAGATAGATAGATAGATAGATAGATAGATAGATAGATAGATAGATAGATAGATAGATAGATAGATAGATAGATAGATAGATAGATAGATAGATAGATAGATAGATAGATAGATAGATAGATAGATAGATAGATAGATAGATAGATAGATAGATAGATAGATAGATAGATAGATAGATAGATAGATAGATAGATAGATAGATAGATAGATAGATAGATAGATAGATAGATAGATAGATAGATAGATAGATAGATAGATAGATAGATAGATAGATAGATAGATAGATAGATAGATAGATAGATAGATAGATAGATAGATAGATAGATAGAAGGGAACCTCCTTTTGGTTGGTTTTTGAGAGGAAACCACAAGGAACACCATCGTTTGGGGGGTGCAACCTCAAAACAGTTGGCAACACGTCCTCTAGGATGGCGTGCACAAGCCCTTCTTCTGGAAGGTCAATGCGGTTACCTGCCCAAACCCTTTGAGTCGACCTTTTCATCTTTGAGTTTCCTTTTCTTTTAGGTACTTTGTTTGGTGGTTCAAAAGGGACACCTCTAAACACAGGCACCCTGGTTTCCTTTTGTTTCTTTTTGGTTTCCTTTTGGTTTCCTTTTGGTTTCCTTTTGGTTTACCTTTCGCCTCCGGTTCCGAGTTCCGAGGTTAAGAATGTCCTGGACACGGGGAACTACGACTGGGTGTTATGGATCGATTGCGACGCCTTCTTTATGGATCCCACGCGCACCATCGACTCGGTCATCGCCATGCGCCTGTGGCGTTTCATGGAGGGAATTTTCGTGGGTTTCCTGCTGGCGTGCCTTCAAAACCGAACAAACCAATTGGGTGCCCGAAAAAAAAGAAGAGAAAGACAAGCCCAAAAAGGGCGATTCGTCTTTTTCGGGGGGGAGGTCCCTCAATTTCCATTTTTTTTTAAAACTCGCGTGGCAGTTTCAGTGTAAACAAACCACCAGTAAGCTCGGCAACTGTGCAGGGGGAACTCCAGTCACTCCTGTATTTTTTGAGTGGGTACCCCTTTTGAACTTTTAAAGGCTCAGCTTCGGGGCTTTGACATTGCGCAATCTCGGGAATTCGGATGGTCCAAAGCTCGGACATGGCCTGGATGACTATGAGGGTGTCCCGTGCAGGGAGATCCCTTCGCGCCGGGGTTCAAACCATGAAAAGGGCTAACAATGTGGATGGACAAATATCTTTTTCGCACCACTTGGAAACGATGGTTGACACCAGCAGTTTTTTGGGGAGCCCCATTTTTTCGGAATCACCAATTCAAGGATTGCAGATCTTTTTCGGAAGCACCAATTTTGAGAACACTAACAGATCTTCAGGGACCCCAATGTTTTAAAGGTTTGATCATGGTTGTTGTTGGGGAACAATTTACATGTTTCTTGTTGTGGTTTAGTGGTTGCAATCCAACCACCTTGACTGCTAAAATCAAATAAATGTTTGCTCCTCTTCGCCCACCAAGTATTACCCCCTCCCTCGGAAATCCCTGGTTTCGTGCTCCACTCGCCCCCCACTCGCCCCCCCCACCTCTCCCCTTCCAACGTCAACCAAGTGATAGCGATGGCGAGGTACAGCAACCTCTCACATCTTCCGCAGCCGGGGGAAGACGCTTCGGCGGAAGAGCTGGAGATGTGGCGGAAGATGTGGCCGGAGGCGGGTTGTGTCACCGCGTGTTTGTGTTTGTGTGTTTTTCTCCTTCAACAAAAATAAAACGGAAAAACCCACAACACATAATGTTTATTCTGCTTCTTTTTGTTTTTCCGCCAACAGCTGGAATCTATGGGTTTTCTGCCCAGATTGGTTTGGGGCAGCTCTCAGGGGGTTCCGGGTTCGGGATCAGGGCCTGCTGGGGAGAAAGGGCCTCCGGGGTCCTCCCGGAGGCCAACTTGCTATGGGTCGGGGGGGTTTCACTTGGTAGCAACGCCAGCAGATTTTGTTTCAAAAAGGCAACGGAATAGAATCACGGGAGTCGCTCAATTTCCTTCCATTTGTTTAAGAAAATCTACTTTTTGTTTCCCCTGTTGGTTTTTTGAAGGAATCGACCACTACTAGACGTCTTATTTTTTTCGACCATTTTTTTCCTGAACCTTTGCCCTGTCCTCTGGTCCTGGAAGACCAGTTTCCTTTAAACGGAACCAGTGGAGTGGAGGGTAACCCACATCTTTTTGAGGACACCTTTTACTCTCCCACCAATCAACATGGAACCTGGCAGGGGTTCTGGAAGACCATTTTCCTTTCAAAGGGACCCCCGGTTCCATGTTACTTGGCTAGGTTGCCCAGCTAGGTGCCCTTTCTCACCCCTTTTTTGGTTGGGAGGGCAAGCCCCTACTAAAATAGACTACAGAAAAAAGAAACCTCTCTACTGGAGGACCTAATTGGTGGGAGGATATTTAACGAATGGGTTTTCGGGCACTCGAGGTGGAGGTCTCGCTCATTCTCGCCGTGGACTCAACAGGCGGGACCCGGATAAAGATTCGGACAACGGGTGCGGGGTGATTGACGTGGGACCATTTTTTTTTTAGGGGCATGTGTTTTTTGGGGGGGACATTTTTTTTTTGGGGGTGGGGGGGTGGGTGGGCATGTTTTTAGGTTGCTTGCAACATTGACAGATGTGCATGGCACTTGTTTTTTCGCGGGGGGGGGGGGTCACGGGGCCCCTCCACGTAATGGGAAACAATCGGATGCAGGTACCGGTCCGCTTTGGAACTTGTCTGTGGCCAGCATTTCCATCCCTTATTGGGGGTCCAGAATTCGGCGGCTTCAGCGAATGCCACTTTTTCGGGGCCTTTTCTGGATCCCGATTTCTTGGCAGAGGGAAAGACACTTGCCCGATGCGGCCGAGCCCTAACCACTGCAGTGGTAGTTTGGTTGCATTGTAGTTGCACCCACATCTCAGGTATCAACCACGGGAGTTGTTTTTACTTGGTTTAGTGGTTGGGTGTCCGAACATTTTCCCAAGCTTGGACAGCCCAGGCCGACTGGAAAACAAAAAACGGACGAGGCACCCACCTGGTTCCTAAGCTGGTTTAGCAGCGGGGTAGGTGCTAACAGGTCCGCTTCCCTTTTTTTTTAAATAAGGTAAAACCGTAAAACCGTAAAACCGTTCTGAGGTATCAGTAGTTGGGTGAAGTGGTTCCGAATTTTCCCCGCAAGTTTAAACGAAAAAGCGCCTAGGTCTGAAACCGCAAGCCGTAAAACCGTTCTACAAATTTCCCCACAAGCTTGGACAGCCCAGGCCGACTGAAAAGCAAAAAAGCGGACGAGGTGGGGGGTTCTGAGGTATCAACAACGGGGTGTGGTTGCTGAAGAACACCTTCTGGTCCCACGAGTTCCTGCAGCGCTGGTGGCGCTCCGACATCTTGCAGGGCCCGGGGAAGGACTCCGAGCCATCGCGAATCGGGGGTTTCTCATCTTGGATTGAGGGGGGGGGCAAACCACCAGAGCTGAGGGCCAGAAAAGGGGGTCAGCTTGGAGAAAAAGAAGGTCAAGCTTTTTTTTTTTTTTTTTTTTGGGGGGGGCTTGCATGGGGTAAAGTAGGGTACAAAAAAACCATCGTCAAGGTTTGTGGAGAAGTGTTAGTATTCATTTGTCCGCTTTCCAGGGTTGGTCGCAACATTTGTTGATTCCGGCCCCTCCAACGCAATTCCCCAGAACACCCCCAAAAGGAAGCTGTTTGAGCAATAGGGGTTCCTGAAAATGAGGATTAGGTTTTGGGTGGTTTCCCTTTCAGCCACCATTTAGAGTTTGTCATTTTGAGGATGGCACTTCAATGGACCCTCGTTGCTAGACTTAATTCCACCTTCTTGGCCTCTTGAACCCCCTTTTGGGTTTCCTTCCCTTTTCCTGGCGAAGAACGTGTTCGCTTGCAGATGTTGTTTCCCCGTTTCGGTGAGGATCCTCCGTTTCGATGTTGTTACCTGCGTCCCCAGCACCGCATAACACCGTAGGGAGGCACCCAAACTTGGGTGCACGTTTGGCTGGCTGCTTTGCAAACCGCATGGTCACTGGGGCGTACTTCGTGGGGGCCCCAATGGCCTCCGCCCTTTGATATCTTGGTTTGGGTATGAACCCCATAGATTCCAGCTGTTGGGGACAAATAATAAGTTCAGGTGATATCATGAGGTGCTCTTTCCCCAATAATATGGCCCCATCGGCAGGACCACAACTGCAGCGATCAGTCCACGATGCTCCACGCCTTGCTGCAGGAGCTCACAGCGCACCGCGCGCGAGCGTCAGCACGCGTCGCTCGTGCGGGGCGTCATGTTGGGAATGACGGGCTCGCGAGGCCGTGGTGGAAGGAATGGATGAACCCGTTGTTCCGAAGAAAGGAAGCGGGTTTGCCGGGATGGAGCGGATTCGATTAAGGAAGCCACAAGGGGTTGGGTGAATCAATGAACCCAAAACTTTGGGGATGCCCGAATACAGGAAACCGCCGGCAAGGGATGGTTGTCTTCTTTCTGGAGGTCATTCCCTTTCTCGTTCGACAGGGATTCCATGAAGGTCCCAAAGACTTGGGGCTTCCTACTGTGGATGGTTGCGAAATGGGACCCCCATTATATATATATATATGTAAAGGAGATGGTTCATCCCTAAAACTCACAGACATCGACAACCTGAAAACCAGTTGTCCACAACCACTATACTTATCAAACCGCGCTCGCTCAAACAAGGCAACAGTTGTGCCATTCACAAAGAAAAGTACTGTGGATGGACGAAGTCCATTTCGCACCGCCTAGAAATTCTGGAAAGATGCGTCCAGCGTAAATACCAACAAACGTTGCGGTTTCATTCCCATTCATTTCGTGGTACGGATCCGGAGTTGCGGTTTGCCTTTAGATTCCTTCAGTGAAAAACAATCCCAAAGAGAATACTCTCCAAAGAAAAAGAACCCCAACTTATGTTTGGCCAATGAATCAAGAACCTGAGGCAACCACCAATTAGAGGGAAGCTGATTTGTTTTCAGACATCCCGCCAGCACCAAAACGGTCCTCTGAACATCTGCCCTTGCCAGGGAGATGTTTCTTGGGTTGTACACTGGGTATGTGCCAACATAGGCTGGACTGGTGGCTTTCTGTTTGGTTTCAGAAGCCAAGGTGGGAAGAAGTACCATTCGCCTCAAAGCACGCGAAAGTCTAACAGAAGCAGGGGTCGAAAATTTGCAAGTCCGGGCGGTGAACCTCATGTTTTGTTGGGACTTCCAACTTGGTAGGGGGCGATGCTTTGCAGGACATGGCCATGATGTTTGATGTGGAAAAGTGGTGCTGATTTATGTCTCCCCCTCTACATGATGTCCACCATGAGTCCCAATCAAATTCATAAACACAATACGGGCGTGTCTTTTTTAGGAATCGCCCCCCCCCCCCCCCACCCCCAAAAAACAAGGAACAAAAAAGGAACAAGAAAAGCCGCAACACATTCTGGGGAAAACCTCCTCCCCCATTCTGAACCCAGGGATCCTTCCTAGAACACCTCCAGAAGCCCGGGGAAAACGGATCCGGAAACCCCGAAAAGAATGGAATCGGAGTACCAACCCCCAGAAACCCCAGACGCCCAACCCTAGACGCCCCTTTTGTACATTCCCCCCCTTTCTATATTTCCCCCCCCCCCACCCAGAAAAAAAAGGAGAGTGTCCAGAGAGCTAGCACCTGGGCGGGAGCGAACACATGTTCAGGCTCCTCCGAAAGCTTGGCCCGTGTGTCATAAAGATCCACAATGCCGCTCTGCATGGATCCCGTTGCTTTCGGCACCGAGCCTCAAACAGAAGCCCGCCCAACCGACAAAAGAACGAGTCGAGAGCGCTTGTGCAGGAGCGCGCCCTGCGGCAGGACGGCGCCGAGCTGTGGGACGCCTATGAGGTGTGGGGACTTGGAGTCGAGCCAGGGGCTCCTTGTTTTTTTTTCTTCTACGAATACCTATATACCTGGGAACCATGCGAGCTCACCATGTAGGTCCTTTACAGCTTTACTCCGGGATCTCTTACATTAACTTTGGAAGTATTGCAAACACATGGGGGGGGACCTCTATGTGGGTCTGTTTTGTTTTGATGGTACCCCTTTTTGGTTGGTTTTGTTTTTTAGTGGGAAACCGAAAGGACACCGTTTTTCGCCGTTGTGGGGGTGTCCGATTCCTAAAAAAGAGAGACACCTTTGAGGCACTTTTTATTCTGCGGTTCAGTTACCACCATGAAATAAAAGCATTTTTGTTTTAAGCCACCATTAGTCACCCTTCAGGAGCCATCTTAAGTGGGGTTCACCAGTCATTAGTGGGTTGGAGGTTGCTACCCAACCTTAGCCGAAGATCGAAGAGCCAAGTACCCTCCCTCTGGAAGTGGATAGGGAGGTTCCCCGTGGAGACGGCGTTTTAGCCTCCTCCAGTACCAGGGCAATTTGTGTTTAAACGGGTGAATTCTGGGAATCACCCTCGAAGCCATCAAAGGTAGGCTCAATTGAGGTGTTGCTTTCACCTTCTTTTTTAAAGTCACTTCCAGAGAAACCTTCTTTTCAGAAAACCATCGAAACACCCGGGGAAATGCCTGGTTTTCGAAAAGGACGATGGTTGAAAAGAATGGGGAGTCATCCATGCATGACATTTGGTGAGCCCTCGGTTTGAGTTGTCAAAGCATGCCTAGAGCCGGTTCTAAGAAACGGGTTGCAGCTTGCACAAAAGGGCAACCTTTACCAAAAAAAGGGGGCTAGACAATTGCTACCAGCATTTTTTTTGTGATTCATGCCTGAAATTGGTTTTAACCCGTACCCCCGTCCGAATCATTGAACGCCCCCTTGTGTGTGTGTGTGTGTGTGTTTTTGCCTCATTTTTGGTGGTTTTCAGTTGGTTTTCCTTCAAAGCAGACCAAACATGGACATCCTCAAAGAAAGACGCACCCTTCCCTAGGTCCCCCAGTAGTGCCCTTTTACCCTTTTTTGAGGGAGGGCTCCCCTACTAAAATAGGCTACAGAAAAAAAACAAGTTGGTACCCTTATTCTAACCTCTCAAATCTGCAGGACCTAGCCAAAGAAAGACATGCCCTTACAGTAAGTATGGACTTTCCGCCTTTTGCCACGATGTGAAGGGACCAATTCCTGCGGGCTTTGATCAAAGTTTTTTCAGGTGCCCAAGGTTTCGGGGGACGTGGATGTGTGGACCAACCTCAGGACACCCACGACTTATGTTTGGGGAACCCCAAGAAATGGGGGGGGGAGGGGAGGTTTGGAAAAGTGGGGAAAAACATTTTCTTCTTTGGGGCGTGAAACGAAGAGTCATAGGTCAACCCTTCGTGTCCAGCTTGGCAAGACTGCATTGCCTCGGGTTCGAGGACAACTCCAGGAGCAAAGCGCTTCTGGGGTCGCACAAAGTTGGCAACGGCCCCAAAGAGGGTTCCCTGCCTGGTTTACAGGTTACAAAGAACCAGGGGTGCCTTCTATAACCCACTTATAGGTTGCCCGTTCAGTGAAGTTAACCCTGTTTACTTCCCCAGAATTAGTTCCCCTTTTTCCTTTTTGCTTTTTGGGGTCCCCTTTGTTTTCCACTAACCAGGCAAAAAAGATATTTTTTTGCTGGGGTCCTAATTCCAGCCTAGCTTATAGGTTCCCCGTTCAGTGAAGTTAACCCTGTTGGTGGGTTGGCTGCCGAACATTCAAGTACGAACGACCCCAAAAACGCACCGTGTTCGACTCGCGAGGCGCCAATCTACCCTCCGGAGGTGCGGGTGGCGCGCCAGGACAGCTTTTTGTTGGTGGGATTCATGTGCGTGTGTGTGTGTGTGTGTGTGTGTGTGTGTGTGTGTGTGTGTGTGTGTGTGTGTGTGTGTGTGTGTGTGTGTTTTTTTCTTTGAGGGTATCCTTTTCAGTTGGTTTCAAAAGCAACGCAGCCTTTTTTGGGGGTACCCCTCTATTAACGTATGTGATCCGACCATCTTTGCTGTTAGGGCCTCGAGGCTTTGGGTCTGAAACGGGCAGTCGGGTCACCAATCCAACACCCAATTCCAAGCAAGGTCGTATTTGTACAGGTGTGGGTGGGTCAAAACCCAGACACCCCTTTCTTGGTAGCTCCCCTTTTGTTTGGTCCATTCTGAAAGGGAATTTGGGGGGTAGGGGTACCAGGGTTTTGCCCCACAGCAGTGTCATCATTTAGTCAAGGCCCGCCAGATGTAAGGCACGTTTTATTGGCCGTTCAAACTCAGCAGATCAGAATATACAAACACGCAAACACAAACACAAACACACAACACGAACATACACAACAAACACACACACACACACAAACACCCAACCACCCAACCACTCACTCAACCACACAAAGACACAACCACACACACACACAAAGCACGAACACACAACAAACACACACACACACACATATACACACACACACACCCAACCACCCAACCACTCAACCACACAAAGACACAACCGCACACACACACAACACACACACACACAGGCACACAAAGGCGCACACACAGAAGCCCACACACACACACACACAAACACAAACACACAACCACACAAGCACACAAACACGGCAGCACACCACACACAATTACACAACCACACAACCGCACAAACACACACACACACAAACACACCAACAAACACACACACACACACAACCACACACATACACAAACATACAAACATGCCAACACACCACCGCACCAACACACCAACACGCCAACATGCAACCACACAATCGCGCAAGCACACCAACACACAATCGCACAGCCACACTATATAAGTATAATACGCGCATCCGGGTCCCCTTTTCATGGCTCCGATTCAGAATGTGACTTTGTAAACACGTGTTTATATATATATATGTATACGTATACAATTTGTGCGCATATCTATATACATACGTACAGGCATGCGTACATACATCCATACATCCATACATGTCTGACATCCATACATCCATAAACTTCAGAAACACACAACCCCCCCGCCCCCCAAACAAAAAGAAGAACATAAAAGCAGCACATAGCGAAATACATAAACAATAATACACAATGTATTGTATATGTACATATAAATACAATCGCATGTGTACATGCGTACTTGCGTACTTGCGTACATACGTACATACGTACATACGCACATACATACATACATACATACATACATACATACATACGTACGTACATACATACATACATACATACATACATACATAGAGCACATCCATACATCTATACACTTTGCAATCACATACCCCCCAACAAACTAAAACGATTAAACAAAATTAACAAAATAAAGCACAAACAACAAGAGTCAACATACAACAAACATAGATACATACACACACATACGTATATTTATACATATATAAAACAACATCAGGGTTGTGGGATCCAGGGGTTTCTCCCCACTTCTGTGATACAAGTTGGAATCCCCCTTATGAAGAAAATACTCTTTGGGGTTAGGCCCTTTCTGTTGTATCACAGATTCGTGGATTCCATTCCCCACAGCCCTGCTTTTACCCTCGTTTTTGGAAAGGGGAGGGCAAGCCCCTACCAAAATAGACTGTAGAAAACAGTTGGTACCCTGATTCTAACCTCTCTACTGGAGGACCTATGGCCTGGTGGTTTATACATATATAAAACGACATACATCCACACCTGGCGGTTTGGGATCGAAGCCGTCCGAGGAGCACCTGCAGAGCTTCCACCAGGCCACCGCCCAGAGCGCTCTGAGCCGCGCCTGGCGCCTCGTCGGATTTTTTTTCGGCCGGCGAAATCGGCGCATGGGACGTGGCATGGAAAACACCGGCAGCACCAGCCATGTGGAATGGGTGCATTAAAATGTTATTTGCTTGGAAAGCCATCATGAAGTCAAATGTACCTGACGGTGGTTGGTTGCATTCCCAGAAAGGAAGCCAGAAGTTGGATGGTATTATTTTGGGGTCATTCCACCTCAAATAGCCAGCCAGAAGGGAGTAGCCTCACAAAGGGGTACCTTGAAGGATAGACGCACCCACTTCCATGCTGGTCATACAAAAGGGGTAGCCTCCTTGGATGTTCAAGCAACGTCAGGTAGGTAGGTTATAACCATGGTCCACGTTGTGACTAGGGTGATCGTCCCTTTGACCTACTTACAAAGTTGGTTGAACACCCAAGTTGCGATAGAGTTGGCGGACTTTTTAGGGACTTTAATTTGGTGCCACCCATATACTCCCCAGATGAACCATTTGCAGAAGATCTCCTGGGTTCCATTTTAATTTGAAGGCGAGTAAGCCAAAAGAACCATGACATGGCCCACTGGAGCCTTGAGCATGGCACAGGAGGTTTGCTTTTGAGTCGTCTTTTCTCGGTTTGGGGAGAAGGCAGGAGGCAGGAGGCCACCCAAGTTTCGTGATCAACGCTGGGGGTGGGAGGTTGATCATGTCGTCGCACGTGGGGCCTGAGAGACATTTGCCACCGGTTTTCTTAAGAGGGTGCTTTCTCCGCCTTTTACGTGGGGGTTGATCAGAAAGGTGCTGTACATGGGGTGATCAGTAGCGAAACCCACCAAAGAAAAGATGACAACGTCACTGCATTCTAGGGGTACCTTCCCCCTTCTTTCCAGGGATCCTTCTTTTCAGGAAACTATCAAACACCCAGGGGAAATAGCCGGTTTTTGAAAAGAACGATGGTTGAAAAGAATGGGGAATCAACCCCTAGAGACATGGGACAAGTTACCCGTGGTCGTCTGCCACTACCAAGGCCAGACATGGACTCAGCGTTCTGTCATCGCAATCAGTTGGTTCATTCCGAATGCGGGGTTGAAACTTGTGTTTGGCTTCGTGTCCGCTGGTACCAGCAGGGGCCGAACGGACTATTGATCAGCCCTCATGTGAAACCTCAGCACTTTGCGGTCCCAGCTTGATCCCTGCAACCAATTTGAGCACTTCCCCAGCATTAGTTCCCCTTTTTTCCTTTTTTGCTTTTTTGGGGTCCCCTTTTTTCCACTAAGCAGGCAAAAAATATATATTTTTTGCTGGGGTCCTAATTCCAGCCAAGTTTGAGCAAAGGTGAGTAGTTCCAACAGTCCTGACCATAGATCGGTGTGGATATCCACCCTTACATGGGTAGCCCGCTTTAGTGCCAGGTTCTTTTTCGTGAGTCGCTGGAGTTGGTGGCGTTTGATCGCCATTGTTTTCAGGCAAGACGGGGACTTCATCAAGCACCATCCGGGCTGCCACTACTACAAGGCCCGCCTGGGGTTGTATCCCTGGATCGTGGGCTCCGAAAATATGGCCCATGGTGTCAATCCAAGGCAACAAAGAGTACCCGCACAAAATCACACCCAGTTGGGAAAAGGGTACACTGTAAAACAAGCTGCCCTCAAAAACAGGTCTCTTTGTGTGACTCGGTGCCCATTTTGGGATAGAGGCCCACATCACATTGGGGCCTGACATTGCGATTCGGTCTTTGGTATGATCGCTCCATTTCGCACACTTGGGACACAACTGGGTTTTCCACACCTGCAAAAGTTGATCCACCTCTGAAAAGGGGGGTGGGGGGGGGGGAGCAAACCGAATTTTCAGGTGAGTTCCTTCAAGTGGGGTGAGGTTAGGGGCTTTCTGTGTCTTGCAGCGGGTGCACGGCCCAGGATGAAACAGAGAGAGCGAGCAGCAGAATCTGGCTCCATATTTCAGCGAGCAACAAGTTGACAAGGAAACGAGCTGGCTAAGACCGAAAGGGGACTTTGGGATTACTTGTTTATGGGAGGGTGTGGAAAAAAAGGGGACCACAGGTTTTTGTCAACTTTTCCCATTTATCGATCGGTCAACCATTTTTCTAGGGGTACCTTCCCCATTCTTTCCAGGGATCCTTCTTTTCAGGAAACCATCAAACATGCAGGGGAAACGGATCCGTTTTTTGAATAGAGCGATGATGGTTGGAATCAACCATGAATGACATTTGGTGACCCCTTGGTTTGAGTTGTCAACGCATGCACGCACGTTGTGAGAATCAACCCCTGCCTCGACGCCCCTCGCCGCTTGGTCCAGGCGCCTTGTCAGCAGCTGTACCAAGAGGCTCAGGACCGGTTGCAGTTGGTTGAGGTTGCCAGAGCAATCACACCAAGCGGGCTCTCTCGCTGGTGCTCAGTAGGGTATGACGGGAGTTGGAAATGAACCTAGGGGTGTTTCAGGAAACCAGAGGGGATGCTTGAGTTTGTGCGTCTTGTCTGTGGGGATATCACCTACTCGTGTTTGTTTAACTAGGTCCCCCCAGCTAGGTGCCCTTTCCCCTTTGTTTGTGGGAGGGGTTCCCTACTACAATAGACTACAGAAAAAGTTGGTACCCTTATTCTAACCTCTCATAAAAGACCTAGTGAAGGCTTGGTGCACTTCCCATGTGTCACGTATGTTAGCGCATGTTTGATGAGAGTGCGCATATTGTTGCACGGAGCTGGCTGGAGGAGTGCGGAGAACATGCTGTCCGATTTGTTGTGCCTTTCCTTGGTCGAAAGTTTCGCCATCCGGTTGCTTCGCTTTTCAGCTTTTTCCAGTTTAGTGGTCCAACTAGCCCACAACTGAAACTTTTAGCAGGGGATGTGAGAACACCCGAGTCTCCGAGCAAAAAAAAGAAGGGCGTGACACTCGTCGTCATTCAGGGCTGCGGTCGGATAGGCCGTTTTTTTTCCTCCCTTTTTTCCCTCCCTGTTTTTTGGTTTCCTCTGGTTTCTCTTCTTTTTTCTCTCCCGTCTTTTTTTCTCTGTCTTTTTTCCCTGTCCTCCGCGGAGGGGACGGCACGAGGCACAGAGGCCACGGAGCTTTTTGGTGCCGCGAGGCTGGCTCCGGCCTTCCGAAAGGCGGCGCGCGCGAGGGCGCGCGAGGCGTCGCCTTCCCCAGACTCAGCCTCCCCTTCTAAGAAAGGAAAGAACTTTTTTGGGGGTCTCTTTGTCTTTTCCCCCACTGGCCGGGCGCTTTCTTTTTTTTCTCCCTTTTTGGGGGCCCCATTTTTTCGTTTCCCACTACCCGGGCGCAATTTTTTTCTTCCCTCTTGGGAGCTTGGGCTTTCCTTTCCCTCTGCCCAAGAGCAGGTTCAAGCGCGCAGTTCCAGGTGCGTTGCGCCCCATGGCGAGAGGAAGTCTTTAGTCTTTCAGCTAGCCTTCCCGGAGGGAGTGGGAAGGCGGCCCGTGTGGGGTGAGCTCTTTGGAGACCGAGGGAAGTAAAGCAAACATGATAAGAAGGAAAGGAAGAGCCACAAAAAAAAAAAACGTGCCTTGAAATCCGAGAAACATGCACACCCCCCCCCCCAAAAAAAAAAACTACCTTGAAATCCGAGAAAAATACACAACAACCAAAAAACAACACGTACTTTGAACTCCAGCCATGTCCGCATGTCCAGGACATCTTCTGGAACAAAGTCCTTTTGGCGCAGAGCTGGGCAGAAGAGAAAAAATAATCCATCGGATCGATCGTGCTGTGCCCGCTCAAACTCTTCGCTGCGTCTTTTCTTTGGGCTTGGAAGAGGTGCGGATTCCGGGAGTTTGGTGCATTTTGCCAAGGGATGTTCGGACTTTAACATTTTTTGTGCCAACAAATAGGTTTTTCATTACACCGCTAGAGTGAAACTTTTAGCAGGGGAGCAGAAAGCAACCAAGATGAGTTTGGTCCACAATTCCTTGTAAACAGAAACACCCTAGATGCATTGGAGGTAAAGGAACAAGGCCTCTTGAAGTTCAACGACCAGGATACGTTTGGTTTGGGGTGCCTTTATGGCAATGATTTTCAACCAAAAAAAATCCTTTCAGGGAAACCCCGCAAAACAGGACGCCATACCTCTCTACTGGAGGACCTAGGCAAGGCTACCCAGAAGTCGGTTTGTATGCCTCGCATCTGGGCCTGAAAGCCAGCAGAATGAAGTTTCGGCCCTCAGAAAGGCAATGCTTCATAAAACAAGGAAACACGCGGCCCATGTCCTTTTTGGAGAAACCATTGCAGGGAGGGGGGGGGGGGGGAAATGGGCTCTGTCTTATATTTGAAGAGCCCTGGAAGACCCAATGCCCTGTGGCCCCCGGTTTTTTTTCTTAGTTGGCAACACATATGGGTGTTCCTGTGGGTTTCCCTTTACACCCACCAAAAAAGCTTTGGGTACCCCCAAAAAAGATACACCTGGACAAGTTCACAGCTTTTGACAACCTCAGGGCATCAAGAAGAACCCATGTCTATTTTGTTTTTTTGCCACTTGCCAGTTTTTTGGGGGCAGCCCTAGTCTTGCTGGTGCTGAGTAGGGAACGACCATCTCCGGGTTTTGGGAATGAACCAAATCGGGGATGTTTTCTTTTTTTCCTTCCCCCGGGTGCGGTCCATTTCAAATCCATTCTCCTACGGACCAGCAAGTATTTGGAATCCCGAGTGATGGTTGGTGTGACTTGAACATGGTGATGTAGAGCAGCTGGCAAGACATGGCTCGTTTCTAATATGAAGAAGCACCCGCAAGTGTTTGGAATTGAACATGCAGATGTGTACACTTTTTTTTTTTTTTTTTCCGGCTGGTCACTGGCTCGTTGGATGAGGACATCAAGAAGAACGGCATGAGCGCTCTGGAGAAGTACTGGGGCGACGAGAAGCTCATGGCAAAGATCTCCAAGGCGAGGCGAAACGGCTCACTCGCTCGCCGGTGGTTGGCGGGGAATCGGCTTCGTTGCTGTGGGGTGGGGGGGGTGGGGTGGGTGGGGTGGGTGGGTGGGGTGTGGGGGTGGGGGGGGGGTGTGGGGGCTGGAAGTGTCGGGCTGGTTCTAAAGGAAGGAGTTGAAGTCGGAACCGGCCAAAAGGAAAACAGCAAACGAGAAGCCCACTGCAGATCAGCGATAGAGTTGGAGTCAAAATTGAGTAGGAATCACTGCTATGAACCTGTTTTGGGTGTGTCTTTTGTTGCTTTGGTGTGGTTTTTAAAGGGAAGCCAAAAGGAGAGCCACTTTTCTTCTTAGGGGGGGCTTTAAAAGACATGCCCTTGTAGTCTCCTTGGGGGGCCTATTGGTTTCCCAGGGTAGCTTTGTCCTTTGAAAGAAACCTTCGCCCCTTTGGCAAAAGGGGCACCCGGGCACCCAGCTTCCCTTGGCCATCAATCTGCCAACGTTACGTAACCCTAGCTCTTGAATTTTGAGCCACACCCAAATGAGATCCATGCAACCCTTGCCAACGCCTTGAGTCTTGAATACCCAACCAGGCACCAGGAATGGATTTATCGGGCGGGTTGTGTTGCTTCGGTGTGGGCCTTTGAATGTGCCATCTAAGTGCAACAGGTTCCATGATTTTCTACCCAATGACGGAGCTCCGTTGGAGTCCTTGAGGCAATTCAAAAACGGTTCACCCAACCAAGCCCTAAACTTGCTGGTGCGATAGGTAGGAAATGACTGGTGTTGTTGGATGGTTTCTCTCGGGTCATCTTGTTTCTCAATCCCCTATCGAAGCAGCAGGCGAAAGATCATGATATTAGAGATGAAAGGACATCCCACCAGCTCTCCTCCACAAATGATATCCTCTCTATCCTATTCTCTTGTCCCATCTCTTTATCTCCTTATCTTTCCCTTCATCTCTTTGCACCGTTCAGACGCGTTTTTTTTCTCTTCTTCTTTTTCTCAGGCCATGGGCGGCTAAGCAGCCTGATTGAGGCGAATCCGAATCCGCTCGAATCGGTGGAGAGAAACGGCCGTTTTTGCAGTTTGCGGCAAAACCACAGCCTGGGGTCAGTTGCCACCATCAAATCACAGAGGGTTCATAGGGTTCCATGATTTACCCTTCAGGAGTTTCAGCATCCAAATTGGGCCCCAAGACCATTCAAGGGGGCAAGAAAGCCTGGGGCACAGGTGGCTGAGCAGCGATCTGGGGTCAATCTGTCGACGGCAACAACAACAGCCAGGGTTTATATTCATCCACACAAAACTAGGGGACAACCCCGGTCCAGGATTAGAAAACATACCCCATTCTTGCGGGGCTGCTTCTTTGGCTGTCAATGAGGCAGCAAATGCGCAGGACATGGATGGCCAGTCCACCCAAGCAAGCAAGCAAATTCCTGTGTCGCCTCTTTTTCCACATCATGGACCTGTTTTGGGTGCACAAAACAGGGCTCCTTAAAAGATACACTTTGCCCGTTTGGAACATGGCTTTTTCCACCAAAATAAAGGGACACCACCATTTACAAGTTGCAATGTTCAGGTGTATAATGTAAGGATCCCTGATGAAGGTTAGCAAGGGGCAGTCCCAGACAGAAATACTTGCGGGTGTCCGCCTTCTTAATTCTTGAAGCATGGTTCTGTGTCGACCATTTTTTGTACCGGGTTTTGATTATGACTGACGTGTGTCTGTTTTTAGGGCCTCCGAATCCAACTGGATTTCGGGTTTTGAAGCGCGCCAATGCAGTGCGCGCTGCTGTGCTGTTGGGGAGCTTTCCGAACCCGCGGCGACGTGGCGAGACCGCACGCCATACATAGGTAGCCTTCGCGATCTCGCCAGCCTGCAATATGCTGCGCCTGCCACACAGCTTCTCAGTACTTCTGGCTTACTGTCTCACTTTCTTCGCGTGATTTTTTTGACTCGTCCCACGTGGCGCGTTCAACTTTTCCTAGTACGGAAGTTCCCTTTCTAAACCGTCTAGACTTCCTTTGATGAAGCAGTAACCAATATTTTTGGCTATTTGGTAGCGGATCTTTGGACTGAATAACTTTTGATTAACGTTTTGCAGAGAGGTTAACAGCAACCAAGCTAAGGAACTGAAAGAGCAAACAAAAGAAAGACAGTAGGGAAACGACCATTTCGAGCTTTAAGGCTCACATGTTCACAATTTCTATACTATTGGCTTAGCTGCTTTTAGCACAACAACTTGGCTATTTGGAGCTCCAAGATCCTTATTCTGGAAGCAGCCCCAGAAACGGCCGTTCTTGGCATGACTCGCGCAAGGCGTATTTTGATGCTGGCGGCGCAGCCGATTTTTGTGCTTTTGGGTTTGTTTGTTGGTGGGGTTCTGCTGGTGTCTCGAATGTGGTGTGGGCGGGGGGGGGAACGCCTTCCGAAACCTTGCTGTGTAAGACACCAGGGGCCTTTTTTGGGGGAAGCATCTTCTGGAGCCTTGCTGTGTAAGACACCATGGAAGAATGACCATGTCAACTGCTGCTTTCTTGGAGAGTAGGAGCGGACAAAGGCACGGAGGAATTCGCGGGCAGAATCGTAGAGAAGGCGGCGGGCTCTGTGGAGTTCAGTGGGGGGAGCTGTGAATCTGGAAGCACATGTCTGTAATCTTTTGCTTGCGGGGGCCCGCTAGTTTCATTGAGCTGGCAACATGTTTGGTTCTCCCACCCAAAGACAAATGAGGTGTGGAGAGCTTTTGTTGCTCGAAAGCAACGATTATTTGGTCGACATTGAGGGGCCTGCTCCCCACGCGAATTGTGTCAACGAGTTGGCCCTCTACCCCGGAAAGCAGTTTGTGCGCCACAGCGCTTCCGTAGAGCAGTTTTTGGGCAGAAGTTCCGAGTCCAAGACGAGCTCGGCCTTCTGAACAGAAACTTTCATCCCAGAGGCAACGGCCGAGTCGCGGAAACTGCCAGCTCTTGCTGCGCAAGTTTGTGTCTTGTCAGGGAAAGGAGTTTTTTTTTTGTGGAGCCATTTTGGCCGCTGTCAGCGCTTGTCTTCTGTTTGAGGACTCTTGCCGCTTTTTTGCGGCAGGAGTTTGAGAACTCTGGCTTTCTCAAAGCAAGCCACTCACAAAATTCCAGTGAGCATAGCCAGTCATCGTTGGGACTTGGCGCAATAAGTAACAGGTGGGAGGCCACGCTGTTTCCTCCGTGTGCCACTCAGAAGAAAAAGCGCATGCAGACCTCCCGATTTTCAGTGGCGCCACTTTGTTTGTGTTGGTTCCCTTAATTGAGAGCAAGCCAGCCTCATGGACCCCCGAAAAAGGGTGCTACGGCCCACCCTCGCACATGGTACCCGACAAAATCAAATTACAGCTGCATTGAAAAGCGCACGCTCAATCATGGCTGCTGTTGTTTGGTCAATATCCCAGGGGCACGAGGCTTACTTCCCAGCAACGCGGGCTTCCAATCGCGCGACGGGCTACTTGAAGCTTCGGCTGCGGTCCACCATAGGTTTGCGTGGCATAGGCGCGAGCACCTTTGCTTTTCGCATCGGTTGCGCACGGTTTCTCTGCGCGGGGTAGTTGAAGCTTCAGAGTTGCGCTTGAATTCTCGCGGCCCCTTCAACAGCTTGACAGAAGCAGACTTCCCGCCAGGAAGCGCCTGGTGCTGTAAATTTCGATCGCCGCTGTGCCTTTTCAGGTCGCGCCTGTTGGTTGAATAAGGGGATTGTCTCGTTTCCCTACGACCTCCCAGGCCGTGGTGCGCCCAGAACACGTGGTGAGCGTAATGGCGCTTGGAGGCCGGGCGGGGTCACAAGCAGACTGTGCGGAGCGTCTGCCGAGCGTTGCTTGTCAGGCTCGCCATTTTTCCCCGAAACCCGGTTCAAAAAACATTGTGAAGACAGGTCGCAACGACTTGCGATGTCGCTGCGGGCGGTTGAGTTCATCAGCTCTGGGGTGAGCAGGTTTCACCGAGCTCGGCGAGCGTTCGCTGGTCTCCTTTTTATCAAGGCAGGGATTGCAAGACTCGCGAAATGCGGTCAGGTGGTGAAGTTGCAAATGTTCAGCAAGATTCTGGGGTAATTAGCCTGGACTGTAAAGCGCCAAAAAGCCAACACACCTTCCCCCCGGTGCATTTTGCGGACAGTCGGATCAAGCTCCGCGCTCGAAACGCCAACTCCTGTGAGGCGCCGCTGAGGGCACGCCCTCGCGCGGCGCTAGGAGAGTCGGTTTCAAGCGACAATACGAACCAGTTCCTGCGGAGGAAAGCGCAAACGGTCGTGATGCTTTGTTTCCTTTGGGTTTCCTGTTTAAGCGCCTTTAGCAAAACACACCCGTTTGGTTCCTCGAAGGGGCTGCCGTCCCACATGCAAGGATGCATCCAAACCGTGAGCTGTGGTTTTTGGCTGCCAGGGGTCGGCTCCTTATTGAAGACTGGGCGTCGTTTTCATGGCCATTCTGGGGGATCGGAGTACAGTGTCACAGCCAAGGCGCCTTTTGGGTTGGAACGCGTTGCTTACTGATGTCCGAAGTTTGGCAGCAAACCCCAGATGTTTTTCCAATGGAACCATGTAGTTGGGCCCAAGCGGCCGAACCCCGCGTGGGTTCATCTCGCTTGGGCCTGTCAAACATGGCTGGCTGAAATGGGCGTGTCATTCTTCCCAGGAAGCAAGCTGCGAACTTCACAAGGCAACATCTCCTTCCAACCTGGACGATCTACTGCTGAATTTGCGAGCTAACTTCTCGAGTGCTACTCCACCATCCAAAAGCCACAAACAAACAGCGCAACCTAAAAACCGCAGCAACAAATTGCCAGGCAACTTTTCGGGCGTTACTTCACTATCCTCAACACACACGCCAAACTGTTCTTGTCCTGTTGGGTCCTTGTCCTTCTTCTTGCTGCGAATCTCGAGCCGCAACCTCTTTGCAAAACTGGGGCGAAAGCACTTCAACGCACGCGATCCCTGCAGAGGGCTCACAGAGCTCAAGACAGTTCGTACGGCGCCACAGAGAAGGCATCGAAGCGCACGCTCGGGTTGCCAAGGTCGAGAACTTTGCGCAGCGCCGCGGTGAAAGCGCATCGACCCTCCCCATCTCCGCAGAGGCCTCGACGATTGGTCAGGACTTTTTGGACGGCGCAACAGCGAGAGCGCTTTCACCCGCCCGACCCCAGCAGAGGATCCAGCCAAGTCAAGACAGTTCGCAGAGCGTCGCAGCGAGAGCGAGTGTCCACCCGCCCCGCAGAGGCTTCGCCGCGCTTATCACCAATTCGCACCTCGCCACAGCAAGAACGCTGCGACCCGCCCGGTTTCTGTTTGGGGTTCACCCAGATCAGGACAACCCACATAGTCAGCTAACGCGTTTCTCTTGTATTTTTTTCGGCGTCGCACGAAGACGGAAGTACGAAAGTAGCTTGCGAAGTACGCTCTCCCAGCTGCGGCTTGAAACTCTCAAATCGCAGTTTTAAGTATGCAAGTCGGTGCGCCAAGTGCGCTCCCGCAGCTGGGGCTTGGAAAGTGCAACTTTTGAGCGTGAAAGCAGCACTCGAAGTATGCGTTTAGCTGCCGCTGGAATATCGAACTTGGAAATCGCAGCTGCGGCTTTTGGTTACAAGCGTAGAACTCGAAGTGTGCCCCCGCGCAGATACAGCTCGCGCCAGCTCCTTCTCTCCAACTTTTGAATAAGATTAACATGGGAAGAATAGCCAGTCACACAATTTTTAGTTACCAGCATGTGCAGCACTCGACTGATTCGCGTCAGCCAAAACTACACCTGCGTAGTTGTGGGCAAACGCCCTGCTCGCAACTAGCATGTTTGGATGTTTTCGGTCCACCGGTCGTCCAGTTAAGATTGCCCCTTTTAGGTTGGTTTTTAAGGGAGGCCAACAGGGTCATTGGAGGTATTTTCTTCCGTGAAGTAACGTGAAATGCCTGGCAACCCAATCAGCTGTGCCGGTAGGTGACGGTACCCCAGCTTCCCACACGGCCTGGCTCAAATTCATCCTGGGAAGGCAGCGATGCAATGAGCTGACAAGGCACGGAGAGCCAAGAAGCGTGACCGCCAGACCCAGCCATCCTCTCAGCCACCCAGCCAGCCACTCAGCCACTCAGCCACCCAGCCACCCAGCCACTCAGCCACTTAGCCACCCAGCCTAAGCAAGCGCACACGTTCTTCTTTGGTCCGTTTGGTGAAAACCAGGTTGGGATTTGTTCCAACGGGCACTTGGAACGGAGCCTAAACAGGGGTTTGGCGTCCTTTGACTGGTTTTTTAAGGGTAGCCTTTCAGGGCCGATTGTAAAGTGAAACTAACAGAGACACGTACAAACTTTTTTGGCTCCCCCTTATTTGACACATGCCCACTTCTTGGGTTAAACTTCTTGTTAAACAAAACACACATCGACAGACACACACACACACAGACGCAACCCGGCGCAAGCTGTTTGACGAGCGATTTCGCCCCAATGGCCTTTGGGCGCCGGGCACACAGCGTGCCGCCTCCGCCGCCCCTTGGCAAAAATCCGAACGAGTCTTTTGCGCGCGCGGTCTTCTCGCGCGGCGTGTCGCGCGTTTTCGCTTTTTCCCGCGCCGGAGGGGGGTTGCTTAAAATAGCAAAACAAACAACAACAACATAGACGATGGTCCTTGACAGCCATAGGAATTGTCTACAGTTTCAAACATTTTTGGTTTTAGTCATGGTTGTGATATGGTTGAACCATAGTCATTTCAAACTCTTTTCCCGAAAGCATGGCGAAGGGTTCTTCCGCTGGATTCACTTGGATTCTCATGCGAGTCATTACAAGGTGTCATTGCAAGGAATCATCATCATGAAAGTCAATGCAAGGAGTCATTGCAAGGAGTCATTGCAAGGAGTCATTGCAAGGAGTCATTGCAAGGAGTCATTGCAAGGAGTCATTGCAAGGAGTCATTGCAAGAGTCATTGCAAGAGTCATTGCAAGGAGTGATCGCAAGGAGTCATTGCAAGGAGTCATTGCAAAGAGTCATTGCAAGGAGTCATTGCAAGGAGTCATTGCAAGGAGTCATTGCAAGGAGTCATTGCAAGGAGTCATTGCAAGGAGTCATTGCTAGGAGTCATTGCAAGGAGTCATTGCAAGGAGTCATTGCAAGGAGTCATTGCAAGGAGTCATTGCAAGGAGTCATTGCAGGAGTCATTGCAAGGAGTCATTGCAAGGAGTCATTGCAAGAGTCATTGCAAGGAGTCATTGCAAGGAGTCATTGCAAGGAGCAAGGAGTCATTGCAAGGAGTCATTGCAAGGAGTCATTGCAAGGAGTCATTGCAAGGAGTCATTGCAAGGAGTCATTGCAAGGAGTCATTGCAAGGAGTCATTGCAAGGAGTCATTGCAAGGAGTCATTGCAAGGAGTCATTGCAAGGAGTCATTGCAAGGAGTCATTGCAAGGAGTCATTGCAAGGAGTCATTGCTCATTGCAGGAGTCATTGCAAGGAGTCATTGCAGGAGTCATTGAGGAGTCATTGCAAGGAGTCATTGCAAGGAGTCATTGCAAGGAGTCATTGCAAGGAGTCATTGCAAGGAGTCATTGCAAGGAGTCATTGCAAGGAGTCATTGCAAGGAGTCATTGCAAGGAGTCATTTGCAAGGAGTTGCATTGCAAGGAGTCATTGCAAGGAGTCATTGCAAGGAGTCATTGCAAGTCATTGCAGGAGTCATTGCAAGGAGTCATTGCAAGGAGTCATTGCAAGGAGTCATTGCAAGGAGTCATGAGAGTCATTGCGAGCTGCGCATGGAGTCAAGTGCAAGTTGCAAGTGCAAGGAGTCAAGTGCAAGTTGCAAGAGTGCAAGGAGTCAGGTGCAAGTTGCAAGTGCATGGAGTCAAGTGCAAGTTGCAAGTGCAAGGAGTCAAGTGCAAGTTGCAAGTGCAAGGAGTCAAGTGCAATTGGCTTGCGA